GGCCATACCTGACCGGGTAAGTCACTAAATCACATTTCTTGCATGATTTCTCGCTCCCTTGCACAATCCTTTGATCTTATAAGATATCTTCCATGCTATTTTGTTGTAGACTTATTTATTCAAGATCAAGATCTTCTAAGACTAATAAATTAAAATAAACTAGAAAAATAAAAGGTTGCACCACAAATGTGCAATTACCACAATAACACACCATACAAACTAATTAAAAGTAAAAACTTAAACACTCCAAATCCAATGCAATCACTGTTCCTTAGGAATTTGAATCTCGTCAGACAAGCTAATGTTTTCATCTAATTTTTCAACTTTCTTTATTTTATCAGAAACCCAATGCTTTATCTCCAGCTTATGATTTCCACAACCTCCCTTTTCTTTAGATGGGCAAGGAATTTCAGCATTTTCCCGGGCTCTCCACTCTGTAAGCTTGTTGCATTGATCATCAGCAACAATCTCTTTGTCACTTCCTCCCAAGCCACCTTCTCGGACTTCACAACAACAAATCAGGAAGAGATCATATGAGCAAAGAGGATAGCTTCCATGGAGATCAACAATAGACGTACTGCAATTGTCACTGCCGAATGAAGTATCATTATATTTAGCCTCAATGAATATTTACTCGAGGAAAAGACAATAAGATATGACTCCATGAATGAAATATACCAGTACACCCGCTCATCATCGTGACAAGGTTCTACCGATATCTCTATTTGAGATAATGGCACTCCTGCAGAACAACCAACATGTGAACATAAGCAACCAAATCAGCTGACTATATCAATTCTACCGAGTATGAAAACATGAGAAGCATAATATGTTGGGAATAACATGATCGTGCTAATATGAGAGAAAAATACTTCTATTACTTTCAAGAATAGAAGGAAGAGACATACATGCTCTAACTAAAACCTCTCAAAAAACACCTCACATATCTTTCAAGGATATTCACAACTTAAACTTGGTTGTGCTATGATGATCTATGGTCCAACTTATTTGATGATAGAAAGACTCTTCATGCTTGTTATTCATAGGTTATTGGATTCGATAGGTTGTTGGAAGAGCGTATGGTACTTGGCTTACTTACATAATATAATAAATTTAATAGGTGGTGAATGCTTTATTTGAAGTATGTGTTAATCTGATAATTTAGTTCTTGGTGTTTTCACATTTTAGGAAACTTGTGATGTTAAAATCAACTAAAACTAACTTTTTGTTTTAGTTTGAAAAATCGAAAAGTAAAGAGAAAAAACAATTTTTAGTTTTGGATAATTATTTGTATACTATTGTTCTATTGAGTGTACTCTTGGTGATAGAAATTGTTTTGATGTAAAAATGATATTATATATGAAGCATTAATATTTTTTTTATTAAAAATGCACCTTTTGCATTGACAATGTCAACAAAATGGACACAAATACAGTTTTCACGTCTAAGTATTTGCGTCAACATGAGACTTTTTGCGCTGATTTTTTGTTGACGCAAAAGATGTGTTTTGTTGTAGTGTATATTGAATGCATGAAATATGAAAAAAAAAAGAGCAAAACAAAGTTGAAAAAGTGTAATATTCTATTATTGTTTTCATCCTACAATTAGCATGTTATTTTAAAATGCAAATCAAATGAAAAGTGGCTAAGTTGTGACTCACGGTGCATCCTTCTTAAATTAACGACAATATAATTAAGACATGCATAATATAGAGAGCATCAAACCAAAATAGTAGAAGTATAAAATAGCACAAATTAGAATGTGTGGAATAAAAAGTATTCCATATAAACCCACTGAGCAGTGCATTAGATAAATATACTCATGCAGTCCATGGATTAGAATGTGTAACATATATCCAAGCCTAATTTATCGGTCTACATCCTAAATTCATATAGAAAGTGTAAGGGTTTTTTTCACAACCGGCCTAAAGTCTGAAAGTAATTTCAGTTTCTTTCATTTTTAAAAGCTTTTTCAAATATAGACAAGTTGAAGTTTCCCTTTCAATAACAGACCCTACGCGTAAACACTCTGCTCCAGACACTTACTCCGTAACTCTCAGGTCATGCATGTTAATTCAAACACTCAAAACGTTGGACCCCACTGCCTTATTAATATTGAGCTCACGTACTTCCATTTTTTAATCTTAATGAAAACTAACAATTAAAAGCAATAAAAATAAAAATAAAAATAATAATAATAATAAATATAATAATAATAATAATTATGGAGTATTATTATTATTATAAAAAAACTAAATCTGAAAAACATTATAAACTCAAAAATAATGTATAAAACAGAAACATGATAAATGATCGAAAAAATATATCTGTGTTGAAAATGATATATATTTAATTTATGTACAAATTAAACATATACTTTAAAACATGGAAATCAGAAATTTGTATGAACACTAAAAAATGTGAAATATAAATAAAGAGAATTTTTTAAAACTAGAATACACACACACACATATATATATTACATATAAAGTAAAATATATAAATTAAATACATAAATTCAAAAACACAAGAATTTTCAAACAGTATTTTATAAATTAAACTAAAAACAGAAAATATAAAGTTTGTTTCTTGTTTCTCCATGTTTCTTGTTGTCAATATCCATAAAACCACATTTATTACTAAAGGTGTTTTCATATACATACATATATATATATATATATATATATATATATATATATATAGAGAGAGAGAGAGAGAGAGAGAGAGAGAGAGATTTTGTATTTCAAATAAGTATGTAACACATATAAATAGAAACCTAATTGGACAAAAATTAGAATTAATTGTAAATATCAATAAACAACATGATAGCACAAAATGAAACATGATGCAACAAAAAGAAACACATATGATGCAACAAAAAGAAACGTGATGCAAAAAAAAGAAACACGATGCAACAAAAAGAAACACATACGATGCAACAAAAAGAAACAAAAACAACATATGAAAGTATCACTAAGAAACAAAAATAACATATGAAAGTATCACTATAAATAAATAATTCGATCTATTATTTCAATGTATTACATTCATCTATTATGGAGTATATTATTTGGCTTTGGATCTTATCATTCATTCTTCTTTTTATAAATCTTGATATAATTCTTCATACTTCATTCTCTTATCTTCGTACAGTTCTTTTTTGTGCCTGCAATGAGATCACAATCACTATGACCCAAAGATGACAATAAAGTAGGCAAAAACTTTAGCTTATACAACAAAGTATATCTACAACAATATGACAACAAATAGGTTTATAGTCACTATAAACATAGTTTGAAGTATCTTTACACCTGCAAGCTAGTTGCAATATAATTTCTACATGAAAAAGAGAAAAGTAATACGAAGTATTATTCAAGCATAGGCATATACCGCCATCTGTATAGACATAGTAAGACAAGATTACCACCTCAAAATTTAGCACAGTCAATGATTAAATAAACACAATTTTATAATCAAAAACTTCCTATCTAAAAGTTAACATACCTCATCAATTAACTTTGATTTTACATGAAAAAGAGTCGGAGCTAAATTAATGACCCAAGTCACTAGATGTGATAAATTTTTCCCAGAAAATAAAACATAACCCAAATGTATAAAGTGCACATTCCATAGTAAATCATTAAGACACATTAAAATAAACTCAAACAACCACCTAGTGCTAAGCTATCTTCTGCTCCAAAACTAGGAGATTTATATTTTATTACAGAAGATAGTATCCGCTGCTCTAGAATTGTGTTACACGTTAAATTAAAATAAGTTTAACAACACAGAGGATAGCCACTATTTCAGAAGTTTAACAACAGGGATTCATCTTCCCTGTTGCAATTTTCAGAACAATGAAAATCCTCACCAGTAAAGGAAAAGGTTGCACCAGGCCTTCCATCCTCATGCTTCCCTAAATTCATCCAAAGACAACCATTTTTCACTCATAGTGTTCAATTATCTATTAAATCTAGCAAGAAATCAGAAGCCCTGACCTCCTTTTTCTTCAGCTCAACGACATAAATCTTTTCGTTTAAACCAAGTTTATGTCAAAGTTAAACCAACAGTCATCAATATCGAGCTCTATTTTTCCATAAAAAACAAAAAAAAAAACAGCACAAACAAAAGAAGAAATTACACAATGATTACAAGAAAAGAACCTTAGGGGCGATATTGAGGTGGTAAAGGAGCCAATTTTCTCGATCAATTCTTTTCTGGCGTCAGAGGTGAGGTGAAGCTTCATCTGCTTCATAAGAGCGTCGGATTTGAGCTGACCAGAGTCAGCCATGGCCGCCGCCGCCAGTGATTTCTAGAAAGCCCTAACTGCCGATGGAGCAAATCAAACTGGAGTAGTGTAGCCAAATCGATCTCTAGGACTCGGATCTGCCATTAAATAGAGAGAAAGATCGATGGACTATGATGGCGTTGATGTGCGTCGCGAGAAGGGGAGAATTCACTTTGCTTTGTCTTTAAATGGCTAGATATAAGAATCACCTTCGAGAGATGATCTATTTTTGAAATAAAAAAGTTCCAGTGAAAAGATAAAAGTTATAATTGAAAAGAAAAGATTCTGGTGACATAAATGAAATATGCCCGATAAAAGCTGTTCATTCGGGTAATTTCCACAAATGTGTAATATAAAGAAAATGTAACAGAGACCTACACCCTAATTCAAATCTGCCCATATATCAACGCTCAGACCAGAATAGTAGGTATATATATGTCCAAACCCGCTCATTTGTACAGACGGGCGAGCAGGCTGGTTGGACTCACTTTTTTTGTACGGGTCTAATACACAAAGCAGTGCAAAGAATCGCCAAAAGAATAATTTAGGGAGGAGTAATTAACGATGTTCGCAGCCCAACAAAACCAGTCGACCCGGTTCTGCACCAACCGGGCGAGTGGCTTCTTTTGTGATTTTGATTTTACCAATGGGCGGGCCCATAGAAAGAAAACGTTTTCTGTTTTCAAGAGCGAACCTATATGGTGTCCCCACTCACAGAGATGCGCAACGTACAATGCTTTCCCTGACGATTTTTCCTCTCGCCATTGCATCATCCTCTCAACACACTACACTTTTGAACTGAGATACGCCACCGGCCGTGAGACAAAATGGGGCGAGCCAACAATGGCAGGCGCGACGGTAAGTCTACAACTACGGAGGAGGAGAAAAACCTTAGGGATAAGGTGGCGCAGTGGGATAGTGATCAAATAATCAAAGCTCTGAACATGGAGGTTCCGGAAGAACTCCGCTGCACCAAGTCAGACGGAAAAACTTGGCGGTGCAACAGCTATAGGATTGCCGGGGGGAAACTTTGTCAAAAACATTATCTCCAGCCTTACATACGCAACTTCTGCAGGAGAAAGGAGAACGGTGCTCACTCTCCGGCCTCTGCAATGTCTGCTAGGGCGACCAAAATCAGCTCGGAAAGTCCTGCTGCTACGAAGTTGCGGAGTCCCGTTCTTCCGGTTAAGAGGAGGAGAGTGAGACCAGCCGAGGAATCGCAGCAAACCTCGCCTGACGAGTCGATGCCGAAGCAGAAGCGGGGCAAAATGGGGAATGCAGAGAGTGAGAGGGGGGAATCAGAGAAGAACAAGAAGAAAATCCATAACAAGGGGGTAGAAGAGGAAACGGAGGAAGCAAACTTTGCAAAAACGCTTATGGCCATGAAGGGACAGAAAACAGAGAGGAGCAGAAAAGGCCTGAAGAGAAAAGGAGATGGTGATAAAACAGTAGAAAGTTCTGATGATGACCATACAGAATCTGATGAAGATAAGGATGGGAAATGTCACATGGAAAACAAAGGCTCTTGTAAGCATAAATGGCTAGCCGGGAGGAAGAGTATTGGAAGGAATACATGTGATGAGGTGGAAAGTGCTGGTAACAGGTTTAAGAGGGTCAATTCTGAGCAAAATGATGACATTGAGGGTTCTGGAAGGAAGAGGGACAGTTCTCCCAAAAGGGAGGAAAATCAGGTTTTGGAAAAGGGGAAGGTTGGTTCTGAGAAAGAGAAGTTGGGTAAGGAGAAGGTAGTTAATAAAGATGTCATATGTGGTGATTCTGAGGATACTGAGAGTGATGAGTTGGTCAAATCTGCTAATAAATCTCTATCAACTGTGTACTTAACTAAGAGAACGGGTAAGATCTTACAAGAGAATGAAGTTGTGGGTATGAAATTAGATATGAATGATGTTATTTACCAAAGGAGAAGGAAGAAGACTCTTATTGAGAATGGCTGTAAAAATGATTCTAAGAATGAGAAGGATAGTGCAGTAAATAAAGGGAATGTTGCAAGTGGCAATATAAAATCAGAACTTGTAGACATGGAGATCTCAGCGAGAAGTTTTGAGGGTTTAAGGAAAGGTCGCACTGCCTTGGAGAAATCTGCTAACATGGGTTCCAAAAGGGATTCATTGGTGAAGAGGAAGGATATGGAGCTGCGTGAGAACAAATCATCAACTTCACTGAAGAAAAGCCATGAAGAGTGTGGTGGAGTAAAACCAAAAGTTGATGATAGGAGGAAGCACTTTAGTAATGATGTAAAGTCCATCCTCTGACCTTTGTAATGATTCATTAAGTTTTTTATACATCCTGATACGATTAAACACCAAAGTATACAGGACCCAAATGATGATTGCCAGATGTGCCATCAGTGCATGAAGAGTGATAGAAGAGTTGTTCGATGTCGCAATGCTTGCCGCAGGCGCTATTGTGCTGCCTGTATTAGAAATTGGTAATGTAGTTTGCTAATCCTAAACTTTGGAAACTGTATCCACTTTTATTCTGCTATTTGGTTCTTTTTGACATATTAGAGATTCCTAAATAATATGAACTGGTAGTTTAGAAGTAGTAGGGCTCTTCAAGAGTCTCTAAGATCCAGCAATAATTACATATCTTTCGATCTTTGGAGAAAATGAACATGACCGTTATAGTTGGGTGCTAGGTGCACTTCATACTTAGTTATGGCATGCAATGGTGAGACGATCTTCATTTACTGTGCATCTTTGTTTAAGTTGATATCAAGTTGTAATCAGGTAATTATTCTAAGTTGTAAACGTGAACACTGAATTTTGAGGTTGCTATAACTGCATCATGCCATGTAGGCGGGTGTTAGTTGCACTTCTTACTTAATTATGGCTTGGGATACTGATATGATCTACATTTATTGTGCATCTTTGTTTAAGTTCATGCTTAGTTGCAATTAGTAATTTTACATGATTCATGATTGAATGATGCATGTTAAAGTCATTGTGAACATGCATGCTGAATTTTGGGGTTGCTATAACTGCATCATGCCATGTAGGCGGGTGTTAGATGCACTTCTTATTTAATTATGAATTGGGGTACTGATATGATCTACATTTATTGTGCATCTTTGTTTAAGTTCATGCTGAGTTGCAATTAGTAATTTTACATGAATCATTACATGTTAAAGTCATTGTGAACATGCATGCTGAATTTTGGGGGTTGTACCATGAAAATATATCCTAGGGAAAATATAGCATCTGAATGAGGGAAAATAAAGCAGTTATGGCATGTGAACTTACCAAATAATACACAATGCTTTACAATAAAGTAGTTATGACATATGAACTAACCTTTCGCTCATGCTAAATGATACAAAATGCTTTACAACCATAAATCATAATAGCTAGATCATTTCTAACTGAGTTTAAGAAGGTTGCATAAACTCAAGAACAGAAACAAAAGTATCCTTGCTGCAGTGCTTATATAATCAGTTATATTGAAATACATATTTCGGAGATTCATAGTATACCACTATATTGTTTTTCTCGCTTCCACTTACTCATCTTCTGCAGATTCTGCCTTACTAACTAGCCATGGCTACTTGACGCCACCTCAGCCACATCTAAAATTGATATTTTACCATGAGTGGTGTACTTTGGGGGCAGCTATTTGTAGTAAAGTGATCATTATTGTTTATTGATTACCTAATAATAAATCATGCCTTTTGGCACTGGTTCTATATAATGTTTTTGACTTTTGTTAAAAATGTATTTACAAAATACCTGCACAACTCCATTGAGGAAACATTCATTATTTGTGCTTAAAGCTTTGAGGAAACATTATTTCTAGATTCATGCCCATCAAACACTAAACCCATTTCCTATTCTGTGTCCAAATAATCTATCATTCTATTTTCTAATATAGGTACCCTCAAATGACAGAGGAAACAGTAGCAGAAAAGTGCCCTTACTGTCGTGGAAGCTGCAATTGCAAAGATTGTTTATCTAGACATATTGATCATGAGGTTTTATTTCCTGTACTTATATTTTGGAAATTCTTCTGCTGAAAATTTCCCTTTCTTCATATTTGTACTTGCCATTTCATTGTCTTTTTCATGGTTTGTTACAGGTATATAAAGGAGCACCACAAAATCATGATGAAAAGATAAGCCGTCTTAAGTATCTTGTACATTTACTCCATCCGTTTCTCAAGAAGTTTAATGCCGATCAAATGGCTGAAAAGGAAATTGAGGCTAACATCCAAGGTATTAATTCACGTTATTCTAAATCCGTATCATTAACATGCTACATAAGTTTTCCTTTTGGAAATAATGTCTATATGTTCTGCAAGGCTATGTCATTATGTGAGGACAGCTGGCATATAGCTAACTGACTAAATCTTTTTTTTCCCTTCTGCATTGTACAAAATGGTATGCGCGATTCTGATTTAGAAGTTACTCATCCCTTCATAAACACAATATGCTCTTTGAGCATTCGATTGATTTCAGGATATGCCATTAATTTTATTTCATATTAATGCTTGTGAGGCAGCATTTCAACATTGCTCTTAATATTGTTTTTATTCGGTAAGACCAATATCTTTAACTTTAGACCTGTAGCATTTTGCTTTAATTGCTTAAAGTGATATTAGAAATTAATATGTATTATGCTTTAGGGCATCTCAGAACAGAGAATGGTTCTTATGTCTCACGGAAATGCTTTAGGGTGGGTAGACACCATTTTCTTGAAACTGCTTTCGTAAATAGTGTTCTTTTTTTCCTTTTTCTTTTTACTCCGGGGGGGTCTGGGGGACCTGGAGTAATCAGGGCTGAAACTCACTCCATTGAGTTTCAAACCCTTTATGTGCCTAGCAGGTTTCGAACTCGAGACCTCCCACTAGGCACGGTAAGCTCGACCAAAACGACGTGTATCAGATAACTCCATAACATTTTTAGATGCCCCATTATATTTCAGGATTCATTTTTGTGCACTCCGGTTCATTGAAGATTTAATAAAAACTTCCAATTAATGGGGCTTGAAGTTTGATATATATTAAGATTGTAACTATTATGCTTCTCTATTTTTCATACTCGGCAGAATTAATATAGTTGGTTGATTTGGTTGCTTATGAACATGTTGGTTGTTCTGCAGGAGTGCCGTTGTCTGAAATAGAGATATCAGTAGAACCTTGTCACAATGATGAGCGGGTGTACTGGTATATTTTATTCATGGAGTCATATCTTATTGCCTTTTCCTGGAGTAAATATTCATCGAGGCTAAATATAATGATACTTCATTCGGCAGTGACAATTGCAGCACCTCTATTGTTGATCTCCATAGAAGCTGCCCTCTTTGCTCATATGATCTCTGCCTGATTTGTTGCTGTGAAATCCGAGAAGGTAGCTTCGGAAGAGGTGACAAAGAGATTGTTTCTGATGATCAATGCAGCAAGCTTACAGAGTGGAGAGCCAGGGAAAATGGTGAAATTCCTTGCCCGCCTAAAGAAAAGGGAGGTTGTGGAAACCATAAGCTGGAGCTAAAGCATTTCTTGGCTGAAAGCTGGGTTTCTGATAAAATGAAGAAAGTTGAAAAATTAGCTGAAAACATTAGCTTCTCTGACGAGCTTCAAATTCCTAAGGAACAGTGTCCCTGTTTCAGAGATCAAAATGTTAATGGTGCGAAAAATATTAGAAAGTCTGCCTCCAGAGATTCTAATGATAACTATTTGTACTGCCCATCAGCAAGTGACATCCAGGATGGTGACCTTAATCACTTTCAGAGACATTGGATCATGGGAGAGCCTGTGGTAGTCAGAGATGTTCTTGAATGTACATCCGGTTTAAGTTGGGAACCTATGGTCATGTGGCGTGCTTTTCGCAAAATAAGTATCAAGGATGGTACATCAGATTTGACCGTGACAGCAATTGATTGCCTTGATTGGTGTGAGGTACACATTGTGGTGTCTCATTCTCTTTTTTGATTGTCAAGAAATATTTTAATATGAAACATAGGCATAGTAAAGTTGCTTCTATGCTTTCTGGACCTGCAGGTAGATATAAATATTCACGTGTTTTTTAAGGGGTATGCTGAAGGTCGGAAGCATAAAAATGAATGGCCTGAAATGCTTAAGCTGAAGGATTGGCCGCCATCTGCTTTATTTGAGGAGCGGTTGCCACGTCATGATGCCGAATTCATTAGAGCCTTGCCATACAAGGAGTACACACATCCTCGTACTGGAATTCTTAATATGGCATCAAAGCTACCAACTAAAATGTTGAAGCCGGACTTGGGACCTAAAACGTATATAGCATATGGGTTTGCGGAAGAGCTTGGCTGTGGAGATTCTGTGACCAAGCTTCACTGTGATATTTCAGATGCGGTATGCAATTAGCTATCCTGTTATATGTATGTATGTGCGTGTGCATGTGTATATATGTGTGTGTTGCTGGTATTTATCCATAGTTAATAAACTGGAACAGTTATAGACGGCTGAAATCTTTCTAACTGGGCACTGGATTCTAAATTTTATGGAGTACCCAAAACTAGCTCTTAAACAAGTGTTCCAATCTCTGCAGAGGAGATGCAACATCTTCCCTACACCCTTACATTGCATGTGCATGCAATTACCTAACTTTATCCCGTTATCCATAACATATACTCCCTCCGTCCCAAAATGATGGTCCTGTATTTCCTATTTGGGTTGTCCCAAAATGATGGTCTTGTTTCCCTTTTTGGTAAGGAAATTAAAGTAGATTACCATTTATACCCCTCCTTTCTATGAACAGCAAAAGTAAAGGAATGCACAGTGCAATAAAGTAAGGTTATATGAGTTATTCTATCCCACTTTCTTAATATTTGAACCCAAAAAGTATAGGACCATCAATTTGGGACGGAGGGAGTATAATACTCTGTATATATTTGCAGGGGCTTATCTTAAAATTTATCCCATTATATTCCAGTATTCGCAAAAGTAGTCTTTACATTAATCAAGAGTTGCATGAATTGAATTGATTGGAGTTGCCAGACAGCCAGAGTGGTGAGGGCTCTTTTGGTCTGGAGATTGAAGCAGTTAAAACTGCACCTCCTGGTCTTTGCAGTGATCTTTTGCCTACCAGTCTCAATTTTGTACTATCAAAACATTTTATCCACCACTAATATTGCAATTTAACTGAATGCATTTGCTAACTGCAGTTATGTGTACCTTAGAGAGAGACATTCATTCTGATATATTGATTTAGATTGTTTGTATAATAACTATAATTATCCAGGTTAATGTTTTGATGCATACTACTGAAGTGCATTTAGCGGAGTCTCAGCTTTCTAAAATTAAAAGAATGAAGAAAGAATATGATGCTACCGACCTTGAAGAATTATTCACTGTTGGTAGACATAAGCAAGGAGTTGAAATGGAAAATTTCCAGGATGCTTTGCTTTTAGGTGTTAAGGCTGATAAGGCTGATGGTACAGCAGATGAAGCCAACTGTGATATGGTTATTGCATCTGAAAAGGAAGTCGTTCAGGATGATGTGCCTTTAGAGGTTAAAATTGAGTCTGATGGTGCAGATAAAGCCAACTGTCTAATGGTTATTGCATCTGTAAAGGAAGTTGTTCAGGATGATGTGCCTTTAGAGGTTAAACTTGAGGCAGATGATAGTGCTGGTGCCTTGGGAGTAACAATTGATAACGTTTCTCTTGAGTCATCGTTAGATGGTAAATCTGTGCATGATGAAAAAGAAAGCCAATTAGATGTGAATGATGTTATTCCTTCTGATATAAATGAGCACCAGGATGACGAGTTATCTTCCGAAGAGATGGCAAATGGGGTAGATACAACCGATGGCGGGGCGGTCTGGGATATTTTCCGGCGACAAGATGTTAAGAAGCTTGAGGATTATCTTATAAAGCATCAAAAGGAATTTCGGCACATGCAATGTCGTCAATTAGAGCAGGTACTCACCAACTTCAAGCAAAGCGCATCCATTTGTTTTAGTCTACCTAAAAAAGGGCCTACCCAGTGCAGAAGCCCCCACACATTGGGGGGGGGGGGGGGGGTCTCTGGAAGAAAGTTTCTAGGCAACCTCCCCAACAAACTGCGTGCGGAATAAATAAATTGGACATGCATGTTCATGCACTTATTTTTAGGCATGCTGTTGTTCACTTTTTTGTTCTCTGTTTGTAGCTTACTATAAGTTCAGGCCAATGTATACTATAATCGTGCACTTTTGAAATTTAATCTCGTAGGTTGTTCACCCCATTCATGACCAATGTTTCTACATGAACTCATACCATAAGAAGAAGCTCAAAGAAGAGTTTGGTTAGTTTGTTTCTCTCGAAGTTAAAATTCAGGAGTTTTTTTACTTCTTCAGGACTTAATTTTGTCCTCACTTGTGTAGGTGTGGAACCTTGGACATTTGTCCAGAAACTTGGAGAAGCAGTTTTGATTCCTGCTGGATGTCCCCATCAAGTTAGAAATATTAAGGCATGATCTGAAGTATTGTTTTTGTGACGCTAAGCATTTGATCCAATGCACCAAATACATGCATTGCGTATTTAGTTTTCTTGTGTGTTATTTATCATAAGTACTTCTTCCTCTTTCCAAAAATAAAAGTTACATCATTCCCTTTTGGATTGTTCCAAAAAAGTTACATCTTTTTTTGGCAAAATCCCACATGCAGTTCATATCCTACCTTTCTTTTTGTTAAATAAATCCACAACTTTACTCATTTTTTGGTGCTACAGTAAAAGGGTGGGCCGGTGGGGTGAGGGGAACCTTGGCGCACCGGTTAAGGTGTTGCCGTGTGACCGAGAGGTCACAGGTTCAAGCCTTCGTAGCAGCCTCTTGTCAAATTGTTGTGGGACCCTTCCCTGGACCCTCACCTTGCGGAGATGCCTCCGTGCACTGGGTTTCCCTTGTTTTACAGTAAAGGGTAGGGTAGATTAGATTTTCTATTCCACTTACTTAATCTATGTGACCAAAAGTTGTGTAACTTTTACTTTGGGACAGAGAGAGTAGTAATTATAATGGGTATGGTTAATATGGCTGAAATGTGATCTGGAATGCAAATGTGGATGCACAAATAATCTCCTCTTCCCATTGCTTGTGATATTTTAAAATCATACCATTATATTCTTGTGCCTTGCAGTCTTGTATAAAGGTTGCTGTTGATTTTGTTTCACCTGAAAATGTGGGGGAATGTTGTCGCTTGACTGAGGAATTTCGTGTTCTTCCCCACAAGCATAGAGCTAAGGAAGACAAGTTGGAGGTGAGATCCCAGATCATTGTTTGCAATAAAGAATACCCATTAAAAAACAAACTATGAGAATTACAAGCACCATTCAATTATTTTCTATGAAGTGGGAACTGCTCGTTGCCAATTCTATTACCAATGATTAGGCTTTAGGGTTTAATATGACCACTGAATAAAAGATAAATAAATTGAAGCTTATTGTTTGTGACTAGATTCTCTATTCTTGTTTGCTTAGATTCTGCCATGAACAAGAATATCCTGTTTAATATGTACACTTTTTCCCAACTGCATATTTTCTTAGGTAAGGAAGATGATCGTGCATGCAATCGGAGATGCTGTGGCGAAATTGGAGGACTTACACATGTAAATTGTAACTAAGATGGCCTATTTTGCCAAATCTGTTGTTTAGCACCTAACAATCAAATGCAGGGTTATATGAACTCTTATTGGCAATTCCTTTAACCAGTGTATTTTTTTCTGAAAGGAAAAGAATTAACTAGCATTAACCAAATCAAATTCAAAACCTCACAAATACATGGAGGATTACCCACCCAAACATGACAATCATGCAAAGAACAAGCTACTCTAGCCAACTCATGAGCTGTTCGCTGATTGTTTCACAAAAGAAAAAGATATATTAGAAAAACTTCTATTAATATCTCGTAAATTGACCAGTGTTTCAAAACGCGGAGTAGTAATAGACCTGCTCAGGTCACTTGTTCAATGGTCGAATCGGTAGATAACTAATTGAAACGAATGACTTATTCTATGTGAAAAGTAAATAAGTAAATGAGTAAATAATATAAAAGAATTATATAACATATCTTGTTACTACCTTTGTTCTAGGGGTGGATAATCATGATACACATGACTCTGGAACCGGTTGTTTCTTCTAACCGAATTGAAATCGGAACCTGAAGCTGGCCCAAAGCGGTGCTGCCTGGTTCAAGTTTATATGCATGTAATATTGTACACACTCTTCTAAAAATCGCTTTAGTTGTCAGGTTAGTCTGTGCCTCGGCACTAGGTAGCACCCCGATTTTAGTATAGGCGCTCCGGCTAATTGATTTGGCGCCTATGTGAATTAGTCAGCTGCCTAAAGCGTCTGGTTGCTCATCTAGAGCGCTTAATCGGCCGCCTAGGCTTATAGATTTGTTGAACATTTTTATTTTTGCGTTTTTATTTTAGTATTTCAAGAGATATATGTTTTTTTAAATTTAACAATGCATATGAAGAAATCTACTGGTTGTAGATTAAGATAAAATTTGTAGATGTTTATATATAATCTTAAGTGTTACTATTATTAGTTGTAGATTATTATAATATTTATTACATAATGAAATTAAAAGAGTAGGTATAATATATTATTTAATATGACAACTCTATCATTCATGCATAGTAATGTGTATCTGAGTGTATATTTTTTTATACACACACAAACACAACATTACTTATCATATTTGTGCAGAAATATTGATAAGACTATAATTCGTTTTCTCCGACTAGTCTTCGCCTAGGCGTAAGCGTTGGGCTGGCGCCCGACTAGCGCCTAGCGCCTTTTATAACATTGATTGTACACCGTATAGAATACCACAATATAATGTACTTAGTACAAAGTATGATGTAATTGCAACTATACAAGTCAAATTCTACAATACCTTCAAGGTACCGTACCTTATCCACGTGGATCAATTAAAAAAAAATACAATAATGATTTTGACCAGTCAAATGCACTGTGGGGGTCTACTTATTTATGAGGTATCATAGCATTCACCATTACATAAGTCGATTATAATGTCTTGACCGACACGTCAATGCATGTCCAGGAGCAAACTTATACTACTTTGTATAATTTAGTCAAACATTTTACAAATATCTTATTGCATAATTTTGCATTATGAATATTGTGTACTTAGATTTAGTCTAAGTTGCAAATATAGAAGTATGTCTAAAGAGAAGATCAATTTATATTATTTTTGTGAAAAGATGTAGTTGTAGATTAAATTTTAGGTCAACACACACATAGGGAACTGCCTCAAAAATGAATGGAAAAGATTTTAGGCCCAAATATTATTCTTTATATGTGATGATACTGTGATAGTAGACTTGTTCGTAGTTCGAATCGGAACGGAACCAAATTAATCGTCAACCTAATCGCGAGAGTAGAATTTAATCCATGTCCAAATTGTCAACCTACATTAGTCGTATATCAATATTTTACTCCATCTGCCCCGAAATGAAGTTCCCGGTTAGACCTACACACATATTTATGTAAAATAGAGATTTGTTTTGATTTTTCAAGAATACCCTTACTTTATGTCAAATCAAGCAAAAAGTGAGAAAATTAAGGCTAGTTGTGATTTTTTTTGTTAAAAGAGAGATCCTTTTATAGAAATGTGAACTTTTTTTTGAGATACCCGTAAAAGAAAGGGACGGAGAAGGCTAAAAAAATGACACTATAGTTATTTGCAAAGATCGCATTAGACACTTCGTCCTCACATCCTTCATACCAGAACAGCTTCCGCATAAAAGAACCCCTTCCGCTTTCATCAATCATCAGTAAAATCTAGGACCACCGGTGGCCAAGCAGTACACAGATTCGACGAAGAGCTCCACAATTTGATTTGGAATTGAAGAGAGCTAGAAGTTTTTTTGAACTAAGAGGGTTAATTAGAAGTATTAGAAGACAGAAAGGTATGAATATTGTAGGTTGAGAATTAGAAGGTTTGAGAATGTTGTGTATTGAGAAGTACGAATGAGCTTCTGGCCTGTTGGGAAGGTGTGAGAAAAACGTAGGTTGAGCGATGAATGTTGGGCATTCAGTATGGAGTAATATTTAATATATTTGAGGGGCATTTTTGTACTTTAACAAAAATAACAAAAATAACAAAATACTCCACTAAAAATCACTTTTTTACCAAACACTTCAATTTTTACCTTTTAATTAAAATCACTTCTATTTACAAACACTACCTACTTTTACTATAAATCACTTTTTCAATAATCTCTTAAATAAATCACTTTTAAAAAAAGCACAAACAAATGCAAAAGAAATGAGAATTGATACTTTAGGTTTTGGGTAAAGATGGATGGTAACCTCATAATTAATGGAGAAAAGCCGCCAATGTCCAAATATGATGCAAAAACGTAAAATAGAGTCCAATATGAGTTTCTCAAATAACCTTAATGTTATTTTTTGGTTTTCTCCATAAAAGGAAAGTGAGAATTTCTAAAGATGGAGTTGGTAATTCTTAAGAGAGCAATTTTTTGTGTACACAAAAAGTGTACACTTTCGTACACTCGTCTATGTACACATACAATTCATAACTTTTTAAAACAAACTGTAAATATGAGATGTATATAAAATGTGTACACCTATTTATTTATTTTTTAATTTTAAGAACACTAATTTTATGCTTTATAAATATAAAAATATCCATTGCTGAATTGTTATAATGATGCTTGAATGTTATATAGCCAAGGGGTAAAATCGTTCACTTCGATCATTCTTCTAAAAAATACGGAGTACTAGTTTAATAAATATTTCTCTCTTAAAATGCTCATTTGCAAGTGCATGAATTCGATTGCGTGGATTATTTAAAAAAAGGAAAGAAATTACTCTCGACTAAAAAGTAAAAACATGAGGTAAGTATATACCCGTAGTACTATGTATGCAGTTCGCAGGGACGGATCCAGGATTTCGGGTCAAAGGGAGGCGAAATTTTTTCATGAGTGTAGGGGTGAAAATTTTTCGCTAGTGTAGCGCGGAGAATTTTTTTCCGCTAGTGTAGCGGGGCGATTTTTTGCTAATATAGGGCTCTGCAGCCATTTTTTATTAATACATACACGACGATATCTAAAACTACTACAATCTAAATTTAGACAATGGAAAAATAACTTTGATTTTAGAGAAAAGGGGCAAATAAGCCCACGTACTAATAAAAAAAGGTCAAATAAGTCCTTATATAGAAGGCTATTTCCGGCCGTCATCATTTGTGGCGGTTCCCTGTGGAAATTTTTTATGAAATTTTTTGAGCATATTATTCATTAAGTCTAGTTTACTAATTCCAAATTTCAGCTAAAACGTCAATCGGGAAGACATTCAAATGAATTCTTGAAGATAACTGCGCAGTTAAAAACACAATTATCTTCAAGAATTTATTTGAATACCTTCCCGATTGAATTGTTAGCTGAAATTTGGTATGAGTAAACTAGACTTAATGAATAAGATTCTCAAAAAAATTCATTAAAAAATTCTATCGGGAACTGCCCCAATTGGCGACGGCCAGACATAGCCTCCTATATAAGGGCTTATTTGACTTTTTTTTGTTAGTACGTGGGCTTATTTGACCCTTTTTCCCTTGATTTTATAATTGAAATGCTCTAAAAAAAGTATTGATAAATCGTAAGAAATAGCAACCCTAAGGAAAGTTATTTGAAGATAAAGAGTTTAAAAGGTATACATCCACCAATACTTTTTAAATAACTTTTGCCTTGTTTAACCCCATGAATCTTTATCAGAATAAAGAATTGGTTTTTGAATTACAATTTTTGTCTAACAAAGAGGGTGTTTGTGAGTCCTGAAGAGTTTTCTTATTATTACAATAGTATGTAGAGAAAATTAATTCTATTATGACTAAAAGATTATCTTTTTCCCGATCTATGACTTAGTCACTTTTTTTCCTAATTTGATGGGAGAATGATATGCTACCCACATTCCATATGCATTAGGTAAAAAAATTATTTTGCTTGTTTTTCAGTTATTGTACTCACAGTTACTAACTTTTGGTCATATTTTGATCAATTAAGTTTTTAAGTCATCCAATGGGAAATCCACTCTCTTTTAGTAATCGTGGAGTAAATTTCCCTGGTATGTATGACATTATTATTTTTAAAATCATATTATATTGTTGATTCATATATATAGTGCATATTATATTTGCATTAATGGTAAAATAAGTTAATTTTTATTATCTATGCAATAATTAGTTTGTAGAACGTAACAAGTAAATGAATTGTATAATTTAATGTCAACAAAAATTTATATTTTGGATTTACCTCACATGATCTAAAAACTACTCCCTCCGTCCCAAAATTATTGTCCCGTTTTGTTTTTCACACAGATTAAGAAAATGGCACTGTAGCGACACTGTTTGGCACTGTAGCAACACTGTTTGGCACTGTAACGACACTGTTTTGCACTGTTTGACACTGTTTGGTATAGATTTGTTTACCAAATAAGGAAGTTTTAGAAACGGGACAATTATTTCGGGACGGACCGAAAAGGAAATCAGGACAATAATTTTGGGATGGAGGGAGTATTTAACTAGTGTGTCTGGTAGTTAGTATCATTTGATATTTTACAAAATCGATACTAATTATCTAATAAAGATAACTAAACATTACAAAACTAGGAATTTTTATATAATAAATATCCCAGTTAACCAAGCATTTCAGCTCAGTTGGTTGTGAGGTTACCGTGCCTAGTGGGAGGTCTCGAGTTCGAAACCCGCTAGGCACATAAGGGTTTGAAACTCAGTAGGTTGAGTTTCAACCCTGATTACTCCAGGTTGAGTAAAAAATAAAATATAATAAATATCTCAAGTCTTAAACAATGAACAGAGTTGTTCTATTATATTGTTTATTTGCTTATGCATGTAAATTATTTTAGATGTTTCTTCTTTTAAATCTTCTCTAACTAAGTTTTACATTATGTAAGGCTATTACTTAATTTTGAAAACTAAAAGTTAAGGGGGGCGAACACATATATATCTAATTAAAGTATGATAAAGTTTATGAAAATATTACATATATAATGGAAAATTTTAAAAGTTCAAGGGGGGCGGTCGCCCCCCCCCCCCCACGCCACCCCCCCCCCCCCCCCCCAAATCCATCCTTAACTTAAAAGTTAAACGACGTAGTTTTGCACAATTTTTTTTAAAAAAAAAAATTGTGTGAACAGTACACACGTGTACATAGATGTTTTTTTTTCTTTTTGTCCCAGTAGCATGAACGATGTAACTCGCGTGTAAAGATATGTAACTCGCGTTATTGATCAATGTAACTCAAGTCCGTTTGAAATGTAACTTGTCAATTACAAAGTATAAGAAATAAAATATTGATTTCAATGTATAAAATGAAAACTGAGAGTATAATTACTTAATTGCTTTAGGTAAAATGAGAATATATTTTGTTTTTCATATCAGGGCCATTAGAAATGATTTTTAATAAAAAAAATCATGTTTATTTGAATAACGGAGGTTTAATTTGTGGTGTAATTCACATTATTTTATGATGTAACTTGTATTATGACAAATGTAAATCACGTGTAATTATGATGTAACTTATAGAGGAAAATTAGAATGTAACTCACTCTAATATATATGTAACTTGAGATAAATGTAATGTAAATCCTTTTATTAAAAATGTAACTTTTTAGATGTATAAAAATGTAACTTAGCAAGCAAACAACTTAAGCTACAGAAATCAGACACCATCATTGTTTCAGCATTAAGAGCCGGAAGTTCATCCTCATTCCCGTGTCAGGCAGCCACATGGATGTCACTCATTGTTGGGTTTCGGGCAGAAAAACGCAGCGAATAAACAAAAAAAAAATACTGCCCAAAAGTAAACAACCCGGATCTGAGGGTCTTACTATAAACGAAATTACAAGATATAAGAGGGACTTACATAGCAATCTTAATCAAGGATGTCAGACAGTCCGAGAAAACGATCCCGAGCTCTACCGGTATCCACACGCACGTGATTGGATCGGCCGCGGGGAACGTGCTAGCGTTCTCTTCTTTCTTCCTCTCTACTCTAGGTTTTAGAAGTGAATTTTAACTCTTAAAATTCGTGGGTCTATATAGCCCTATTTATAAGAGGAGGAAAGAAGGAGTTTTATAGCTAATAAAACCCTCCAAGAGGCCCTAGCCCAATACCATTCGAAACCCTATTTCGAATTGGGCTAATCAGACTATTTTAATGTTATTAACGAACATTAATGATCCAAATCACTTAGGTGTGTGACCCTGTAGGTTTATATATTATTGGCAGTGGGCTAAAAAATTAATTCAAGCCTCACAAATCATAAGCGGCCTCTAGCAAGGCATTATGACTATCCAAAATATATAAATGTCAATTAAATCTGACATAACCTTTTAATGATTAATTTGTGCTAATAATTCTCTTTTGTCAAACGATATCTTAATTGAGACAAGGTTATGTCATGTCATCCTTGTTATTCTCAATTAATATTTCTTGATTACCAAGTAAGATTAATTTTGAACAAATGACACCTCATTTGAGCATGACTATGCTAATTAATCTTACTTGTCAAGGGGCCCAATAGATATCTTTCTCTCGCTATACGAGAGTGACAAAAACTATCTTGATAATTCACTTACCACTACATGGTTCATAATATGTACAATCACCACCTTTATAACTACCCATTTAAAAATAATATTTAATGGTGTTAATACATATTAATTCGCATGCAAGTAACCATGATTATCTCAAGTATAAGAATATAGCACCTCATCATTATTGAGGACAACACTGATGACATATAACCTAGCAGTGTCCTCAAGTTGGGTCTGTCCAATGAACTTGTTCACTAACAAGCATCTATGTTATTAACTTGATATCTCTATACCCATGACTAGTGGAATATAGCCATCAGTTAATCCACATAATGGTCTATTAATTATTAATGTCCCAGATTAATAATATTAGACCATGGACAATTAGAATATTATGCTTATTTTAAAGTGTAGCATTCCAAAATTAAGTCACGTACTTAATTAGCTACTAAACATAATATTCAGGGACTAAATATTAATAAAGAAAACTCACAATAATAATTAACATAAAATGAGTTTGACTTTGTTAATTAATGAGCATTAAATATTCATTGATAAATCATAAAGTATGATTGTCCTAGGGCATACTTCCAACACTCATATGCCTAAGGTGGCTTGTGGTGGTTATTGCTTGAAGGTATTGTCTTGGCAGATTCACGTTGGTTTTCTCTGTGGAGGAGAGGATAAGAGCAGTTGAGATGGAGTCCAATTTGGAGCTCTGTAGGCGACAACTCAGCCAGAATCGAGATCCATAGCTTCTGATGCTTCTTACGACGGCTCCAAAGTGAATCTCCTAGGGCACGAAGACTTTACAAATCGGGAGAGAAGATTATTTTTCTCATTAATAAAACGGCACTGTTTGGAATGAGCACACTATGCACAAGGTGAGCCGATCACACGGTATAATTTGCCCTACGTATGTGATAAATAATAAATATACTTCATATCAACAAAACATGGACAGATTCACAGATTCTAATTAAAAAGATCTATAAATCTACAAAGATATTTGACTTCACACCATTTTTCTACATAAATCTGAACAGAGGCAATATCCTACGTACTACGTAGTATGAATTACACATTTACACCAAGGCTATAAAAAAAATTACACCAAGGCTCCCTTTGGACGTCAGTCTCAGGCTTCTATGAACATCACCCTTTTAACATTTCACACAAAGAGATTAGAAAGAGAAAATGATCAAACATCCCTTTGGTCTGATCATATACACACACACGTCAATAGCCACTGACAGAAAGAAGAATTTTAACTCCGACTTCAGAAAACATGAAAATCAAGAACCTACTAAGAACGCATCAACCCTCACGTTATCCTTCCTCGACAAGAACTTCATACAAATAGGCGGCTTTACCCCGGCCAAAGCGAGTATCGAGTCTGGCAAGGTCCACATCCCGTCTCCACATATCAGTCCAGAAGCCACAGCTGGTCCAAAAGCATCAGCCTTTGCCTTGTTTATCTTCTGCCACACAAACAATATCACACTCCCAACAAACATATCAATCGCAAAGTAACCTCCGATATAGAAAGGGATAGCCATTGCCATCGGCAGAGGAATGAACTGAGCTATCTTCTTCCCCACACCATCCCTTATCCCATTCATAACAATGGCCACAGCAAAGAATGCATAGCACAGTGTGAGGCAGTTTTTCGGAAGAGACGAAAACCCTTCAACCCCCAAGATGGCCATGTTCCGAAAGACAGTTGCATTTGGTGACGGGTACTCTGACCCGGTTTTACCCAAATCCGGGAAAGCGTTGTAAAAGATCCAAAACACGAGAGGGGAGATAACACAACCCATTGCTGTCCCAATGATCTGGCTTATGAACATGGACCGGGGTGAGGCCAGGGTCATGTACCCCGTCTTGAAATCCTGAGTCAGGTCTGATGCGGTCGACACAATGTTCATCATGACCCCACATGCCGCCAGTCCAGCAAGGACCCCTCCATGGGTGGCCCCTGCCCATGCCCCTATTATGAAAATCGCAAGCTTTCCGTAAGTTGACGCTAATGACCAGTCCGTGAGACCACACCCGTACGCGTTGCAGAAGGCCAGTAATGGGGCAAAGACGTACATAACCAAAATGTGGTACCACTTGAGTTGATGAAAGATGTGTGGGAGTGTAATGGTTGAGACTATGGCAATCATAACATACCCAAGAATGGCCAACCATGTTGGAATTTGGTCCTTGAGGAAAAGTTGGGTCCTAAGTTGGTCATCAAATGACACAGAAGGTTCTCGTGGAGAGGACCCAGAGGACGGCAATAAGACAGCTCTATTTTTTAATAGTTGTTGATATATGCCATATAAGGTCCGGCCAAGAACTTTGAAGAAATTGTAAAGACCATCTCCAAGAATCAAGGCAATTGCTATGAAAACCTGTCAAAGAATAAGGTTTGATTAAAAAGCTGCTAAGTTTGATATAATTACAATAGAAAAGTGTTAAGGAATTAAAAATTACCCTGTAACCTTGCAAGCCGTTTAGGTTGCTTTGGCTTAGATTTGCAGGATACCAATCACCTCTCCGGGTCCATAAAAGAGGCCACATTATCCCCCACGAAAGGATTGCTCCAAGTAGCACAGATACGTTTACTAGGTGTGGACATATCATTCCAACACCAACATAAGTTGTTGAGAAATCAAAGAAAAATCTGTTCCAATAGGAAAACAAGAAGCAAAAGCATTAGAAATATAGACAACTATATGAAAAAAATAAATACTGGACAAAGTTGAATCAGGTTGAATTTGTCATCAAATTTGTTGCTACTGTAATCAAGAAGGATATAATGTACCTGTGTTTATACGCCCCAAGACCAAATGTAGGAAAATTTAAAAACCCACAGTCATCTCCTGCCTTAAAAAACCATTGGAAGAAGCCCCAGAGGAAACTGAAGGAGAAAAACTTTCCAAGAATTCTAACCTGTTTCCTGCAGCAAGTGTCGGTGATTAATAGATGTTACCCAGAGAATAATGGCAAAATTAAAATGAGAGTAGCGTAAGACTCCTCACTTTGCAAGCTTAGCTCCCAGTGGGGTATGGAAACTGTTAATAAGATGAGCAGTGGCTGTGCCGCTTGGATATGTGAGCTTGAAGTCTATGATCATTATCTGAAACAAATTAATATATTTTATTAATCAAGATCCCCGAAAAAGGCAATGAGAGAAAAGGGTGAATTGGAATTGTACCTTTCTAAGAGGAACAACAGAGAATAACCCGAGAAAGCTGACAACAAAGAGAAAACCAATCATCCAAGCCACCCCTGGATTCTTAATATTCTCTGCATCATTAGCTACATTTGCTTGCTTGGCAACCGTCTCACTCATTCCAAACATGTAGCTTCCAAAACCTCCTGCTTATCCAAAATTGCATGTCAATTCCTTGAACTTAATAGATAACAAGTTACTAATTTAAACATTGATCAAATGACTAACTGTTAAATTATTTACTCATAATAAGATTCTTATATTATATTAAGTAATTAGAAAGCATGACTCCCACTATTCCAGCAGTACAACCAATTATACCCAATTAGAACTTTACTTTTTCAGTTTTCACAGCGGAAGATTTGCATGTCTAGTGCACAGTTCACAGTTCTAGTCCAGAAATTTAAACTTAAATAAGCATGGGCAATGGACTTAGGCTATGATTGAATCCCAGGAAATGCAATGGAAAGGAAAAAATTGCTTATGAAAGTTATTTTCTAATGTTTGGCTTTACCTAGAGAAATGCAAAGACATTTGAAATATACAATAGTTTTAATTTTTTACATATGCTTAGGTTTCTTAATGGCTTTACTTATGTGATAAAGATAAATTAGAAATCTTGAATTTAAGCAAACAATAAACATAACTTTTGTGATTTTGTGCTAATTTATATTTTCCTCGACATTTCCTTTACTTCGAAATTTCCTCTTTAATTTTGTTCATATTTTCTCTCTGACATTTTCCAAGTTCCAGACGGATCATATCTAGTTATAGATGCTAATGGCATAACTAACACGTACATAAGAGGAGAAACTGAAAGACATGTCGGATGCCCTAAAATTCATGTTTATTAACATGACTTTGGGGCCAAAACAAATATGCTACTGAAAAGTAGCATATAAGTTTTGGCCTGGAAATCGTGTTTGAAGACATGGTTTTGGTCCTAAAAGACCCAAACACGATCGGGATATATGTTTTCAGGGGCATTTCAGTAAAACTGAGAAGTCAATGCTAACTAAGAAAGCAGGAGATGAACATGGGTTTACCATTACAATTGACAAGCCATTATAGAATGTGGGAAAATCAAATATGGCGGTTGCACTATGCAGCCCCCATGGGTCCAACTGTTTTAATTGGGTCAAACTTTCTTGTTGGCACAAATTAATGGCCGAGTGGACTCTTTACATAAATTGCGTCCATGATTAAAGTCAAGTTGCAGAGGTTTAAATTTTCAGCTTCTTCAAATTAATGAAAATGCGGAAAAATCTAATTTTTTTTACCATCACTGCAATTTCAACAAAGATTACATTAAAGCAACAAGTACTTAAAAGGATGGGGAAAAGAATTTCTTTATTACCGCTGAAGGCTATGCCGGAGGTGGCAACAACACAAGTCTGAATCACAGTGTTTTCCTGTCTGGTAAAAGGCTGCTTCATGTACCCAGATCTCTCAAGAAACTTTGTCCAAGTCCTGACAAAGAAGAACCCCAAAAGACCAGCAGAAACATTGAGAGAAGGGATAATCCCAGTGGTGAGATTGAGCTTCATGACTATGAAGGTGAAGAGGACGCCGAGGACTAAGCTCACACCGAAAGCCCGGAAAGTCAGTTGGCCCTGCCATGAAGGCACCTCTTGGGACTGGAATATCCTCTCCACAGACTCAGACTCCGCCGCGCCGTCACTTTTCTTGGAATCCAAGGACAATTCCATGCCGCCCGGCTCTCTTCTTGTGCTGGTGGAGCGATCCATTGAAACGCTTTCTTGGATTTGTGGGTATTTTCCACAAGATTGGAGCTTTATGTTACGTTATAGGGGTGAGATTGTGAGAATATTCTTAAAGACTTTGGCGACGACTGGGGATGGGATAGGTTTTTGTCGCTGTCTTCATACTGGGATTTGGGGTCATGGATGGCCTGCTGGATTGTTCACACCGCTTAGTGGGAGGATGGGAGAATCTTGATCATATTCACGGATTACTTCTAACAACTTCCTTCTTAAAGAAAATAGAAGCGGGATTCCCAGAATCTACATTACGGCTTGTTACCTTATCAGGCGCCTCCAAAGCGGGATTTTAGATTACGGCATTTTACGTGAAGTGTGGACTTTGAAAGTGTGGACTAGATATTGGAGAATTCTCTGTACACCGTACTCCGCTCCGTATCACTTTACCACTACTCCTTTTCAAGTAGGGTGAAACATTAATCAAGGTGGCTTTCATTATGAAATTGATATATTGAGGCAAAATTACAAAAAAATGCGACTTTACGTTTACTTGTGAGAAAAAAAAAAAGAGTGACAAATAAGTTGTTAGTTTATTGTATCACTAACATTTTTATGTCATGTCATTTTATTTGAGACTTTTAAAGATGAATTATGCTAGAGGTATACCCCCTCCTTCCCTAAAAGGATCGTCAAGTTTGACCGGCACGTAGAATAATAAAGTAAAAATTGTGTGGTAGAGATTTGTGCAGAGGAGAGAGAAATAACAGGAGCCACAAATTGATTGATTAAAAGGGAAAGTGACAAAATTTTTGGGACAATAAAAAAGGAAAGTTGGCAAAGTTATAAGGGACGGAGGGAGTATAACATTCTTACAAAAAGTCTTATGTTTTTACAAAGTTGGCAAAGTTGGCATGTGATAATTCATGTCGTTTTACATGACAATTTTAAATCAATTGTGATTACAATAATCACGTCACATGTTTATAGAATTATAAATGAATCAAATATTTAGCGCTCAATTCATGATTCAAAATCATACATGACTATTTGAATTAGAAAAGCTCAAATAAAAATAGAAACATGAATATTAGTTTTGGTTTGAACTATTAGGCTGCTTGCAACCCAATAGGTGAATAGGCAAATGTGATGTTTTCAACCCCAATTTTGCTGCAATCCATGTATTGTAAGATTGCTAAAGTGATTATATGAACCTTCTCTAGTGGGAATTCCCAGCGTTATTCACGGGAGAGAGCAAGTTAAGCAAGAGCCTGCTATGCGCCAGAAATGTGGGGCTAAATATATCAAAATACCCAAATTTCTTTAATGTGTTATAACCTTTTTATGTGTAAACTAATTTAAAAAAAATATTAAACTCATAATTTTTTATTATCTTTCATATGACACCAATATAGCATATGTAAAGTTGTAAAAAAATTAAGTTTCATCAGCTAGAGATTTTTTAGGGTTAAAAATTTTGTTAAGTTGATCTAAATGCTAAAAATAAGATCTCATGATTGGAATAATATTTTTATATCTTTCAATTATTTATTTCAAAACTAGTTCTGAATTAGCGATAAAAAAAATAAACTCCAAATTTATTCATTTTTGCATCGGAATGTGTGACTTTTAAAATCATAACTATTCACAAAAAAACATAAACAAAGAATTAATGTATAAACAAACCTTGACGAGTGAATATATTGACAGTTTGGATTGCAGAGAAAAAGAAAAAGTAAATTGACTGAATGAATACGTATAAAGTGAGGGAAATTAGATTTATTGACGGATGAGGGTTGCGGTTAGCCTTACCTAATACAAAAATGAATTGATGGAGTATATTGCCTCATACCTGAGGGGGGGCAAATCAGGAGGTCCAGAATAATTGCTGAAGTTATATATTGGGTAGGCCGAGACCTTTCTCTAAGGCTGAGCCCACACCATCAGCCTAGCGCGCTAGCAGGCCCGCTACACACACCAAGTCGAGGCGCTCCAGTGAAGCCAAGGCCGACAACATCCATTGAATACCCCGTCTAAGACTAAAGGAGAATTGTAATATTTATAATTGAGATTGCAATATTAGTGTAGAACTAGTATTTTTTTATCATCAAAACAAACTGCTTATATTAATATCGTTAAGACTTAGATCATTACAAGAAACTCACAAAGACCAACCTTGACAACAAGTATCCCTAACCAACTAGCACTATCAACCCTACAGCTAGACTCAAAGACGATCAACCCTGAAAGAGCAATACGAATCGCTAACAACCAAGCGGGTTTGACACATCAATCACTGGCCATGTATATCCTTCTAACGACATAATAGCTAACAGAATCGTCATTCATTATTGTAAACATAAAACTAAAGATATCAACAAAAAAACAGAGCAACATAAACAAACTTAACGTGAAAGTAAGACCATAAAAAATAAAACAGATGACAAATACTCCAAACTCCTTCCTGCCAGTATTCTCGAAGTATCATTTTCCATGGCGGCGGTTCAGGAGGGGGGCGGCCCGCCAATCTATCTTCCCTATTACTCAGAGCTCGATTCAGAAATTTCCAGACAATTTTCCAATCGAAAGTATCAATCACAGACCTCCAGATTGATCCATAGCAACAGATCCAGAAATATCAACCATAGAGAAGCCGATCATGGATAGGTAGAACGTGATGGCAACTGCCCGCCCACTTACGCTCCAAATCTTTCATTGGACAAGAAACGACGCAAGTCACCTGACGGAAAGACAAATCCTAGACAAAAACTAGGGAGAAGACCACTTTACGTTGGTATCGTTGCCGCCTCCGCTGCAATAGTGCAACCCCAATTCCAACAACGATGATGCAAGGTGTATTTTGAGTCCTTGACTCTTGCTTCACCATAAACCAAAATAGAGAACAAAACTAAAAAAACATCCGCTCCGATCTCATGCTAAAGTGCAAGGGCGACGACATCCTTGAACCCCGGAAATTTAAGAATCATTGAATAGTTAATCTGATTACACTATATATTTATTTAGACCATTAGTATAAATAAAACATTCTCCTTAAGAATTCATACAATTAGGTATTAAGTTATTAACCAAATCTTTTTGAGAAAAGGATTGTTTAACTTCCTCTTTATCTTGAAGACTTTATGAAATGGAATAGAGAAACACATGTAAAGTATACCTATAATGGTATTCTATTAGTTAACAAAAAATCCTAAATTTGTGGTCGATGCAAAGGACTGGTAATGTACCTGTGACAAAAATATTAATACACATTGCATTTCCATGCTATAAATACGATTTGAGTGCCACTCTAAGATACCGAGTACTTATTAAAAACAAGTACCCTTCCACCTTAGTTTAAGCTTTTGATTTGCTTTTTTGAATGTCCAAACTAAGATTTTCCATTCTAATTTAAGATATAATTAACACTCTTAAATGACAAATTGATCATCAAATATGAAAAATAATGCACATCAAGTTATCACCAATGGTCTAATTATGATCATAACTATCAAAGTTATGACCGTAAAGGAGAATTATAATATTTATAATTGTGATCATAACTATCTAATTATGATCCACCCCACTTTAAGCTTTTGATTTGCTTTTGTGAATGTCCAAACTAAGACTTTCCATTCTACTTTAAGATATAATTAACACTCTTAAATGACAAATTAATCATCAAATATTAAAAATAATGCACATCAAGTTATCACCGATGGTCTAATTATGATCATAACTATCAAAGTTATGATCGTAAAGGAGAATTATAATATTTATAATTATAATTAGATATTTATAACTATCTAATTATGATCCACCCCAGTTTAAGCTTTTCATTTGCTTTTTTGAATGTCCAAACTAACACTTTTGATTCTACTGTAAGATATAAATAATTAACACTCTTAAATGATAAATTGATCATCAAATATTAAAAATAATGCACATCAAGTTATCACCGATGGTCTAATTATGATCATAACTATCAAAGTTATGACCGTAAAGGAGAATTATAATATTTATAATTGTGATCATAACTATCTAATTATGATCCACCCCAGTTTAAGCTTTTGATTTGCTTTTGTGAATGTTCAAACTAAGACTTTCCATTCTACTTTAAGATATAATTAACACTCTTAAATGACAAATTAATCATCAAATATTAAAAATAATGCACATCAAGTTATCACCGATGGTCTAATTATGATCATAACTATCAAAGTTATGATCGTAAAGGAGAATTATAATATTTATAATTATAATTAGATATTTATAACTATCTAATTATGATCCACCCCAGTTTAAGCTTTTCATTTGCTTTTTTGAATGTCCAAACTAACACTTTTCATTCTACTTTAAGATATAAATAATTAACACTCTTAAATGATAAATTGATCATCAAATATTAAAAATAATGCACATCAATTTATCACCGATGGTCTAATTATGATCATAACTATCAAAGTTATGATTGTAAAGGAGAATTATAATATTTATAATTGTGATCATGAGTATCTGATGGAGTATATGGCCCGGGAACCCCCGGCCCACAGACTCCTACTACTCCAGCGAAGGCCCAACAGGCCCAACAGGCCCAAATCACAGCGACCAGAGTACCAAGCAGCCCGCGCAACGCACCCGGGGGTGCCTTCGGCCCCCTGGCCGAAGGCTCCAAATTCTCACAGAACGGGTTTCTCAAGCAAACTAAGAAACTGGGAGAAAACGGCGAAAACAGTAGCCCTCGGCACTGTGAGCCCTCGGCACCAGGGTGCCATCAGGTGGAAGAGCCCTCGGCTACTGCTCTATGGTCGAAGGCATCTCACTCGACAAGATATCCGCCTCACATGCGTACAGATCACCGTACCCCGCACAGACGTCCCATCCAACAGCCGCATTAAATGCGGCCACATGCGGCTGCCAGCGCCAACCAGTTGAGGTGACCCCTCGGCCAATGAGCGCTTGACACGTGTCCCTGCCCGGCATTTATTGCTACTATAAATAGCACCCCTTTTCCCCATTTGTAGAAAGGGGTGATAACACGCTGAAAACGGCATTCATACTGAATACACTCTCTCTCTACTTTTACTTACTTGCTCTGACTTCTCTCTAAGTTATTCCCCGTAATAACCCTTCGGATATATACCCCCGGGTAGACCATCCATCATTTGGTGCTCTCGTTGAGAGCCGAACAATCGAGTAAGAAACCCTCCCCCTCGACCAAACACAAAACACTAGTCCTCTATCAAAATGGTGAGGACAACGCGTGCCAACTCAAAAAACGTAGAAGACAAGAACCTGGCCCTCGGCGACGTCAACGCCCCCGAAGCCTCTCACAGGGCTCCCGAGGGCGGTGTCATCGCTGGGCTGGAACAGGCGGCTGTCGACCTACGCCTTCAGATCCAACAAAATGCCCCCGATGCCCGCCTCGGCATCGAAGCCAAGA